TGAAATTTGTTTTGCTGTGTGGATGTCAATTGAACGTCTACCTTCTGGAAGTCATCAAAAGTATATTCAGGTTATTGGAGATTATTCATGATCCAGACAACTCGCTGTTGCATCATATCGGCTCGCCTCTTATACTAATACGGAATGATTTTTACTTACGAGAAAGACTAACGCGCGGTCGCCACGCCGCGGCATTGAGTGGTACTAGTGCTATCCCACACAGCACCGAAATATTTCAGAAAGCTCTCAAAAAGCTGTCAATGAAATATGAAACCTTTCAAAAAAATATTTCAGACATGTTTCAGATACATGAAATAGATCCGCGTAGATGAAATATCATAAATGTTTCTGAAATATTTCTCAAATGCTTCAGAAATATCTCTTAAACGCTTCGGAAATATCTCTTAAATGCTTCAGAAATATTTCTGAATGATTTCTATATTACATTTCAATATTAATTTCCAAGTTATATGTTGGATAGCTTTCAATAATATATGTTTTAGAGATTACGTACGAAATATTTCTCTGAAATGTTTCGTAATATTTCTAAAATATTTCAGTGAGAAGGATCATAAATGATTTCGATGAAACATTTCAGAAATATTTCTGAATGATTTCTATATTACATTTCAATATTAATTTCCAAGTTATCCCTGATGGAAAATTTTTGCTGAAAATGTAATGAAATTTGCTGAAATTTGATTAAAAATCTCTTGCAATTGACCCAATTTCATTCTCATTTCAGCAATTTTTCATTAAAACATTTATTTTCAGTGAAATTCTGCAAATTTCATAATATACAACATTTCAAATTTTTTTTCACTAATTTTTAGTAATATTAATTCATATTAATACTAATATTAATATTAATTTCAAAAAAAATCATAAGTTTCGTTATGAAATTCAATGAAATACTGTGAAATTAGATGAAAGTTAATTAATATTTTTTAGGAGAGCGTTTACAAAATTTATATATGTTATTGCGATTACCTACAGCCCCAGTGGTCGAGCTGGTTAAGACGCCCGCACGGATTGCGGGAGGTCCCAGGTTCGAATCCTGCTTGGGGTAATATTTTTCGCAATAAGAATTTTATTTCAATAGGGGAAAGGGTAAATTTATAATGCTAAGTATAGCATTAAAATTAAATTAAAATAATTTATAAAAATCGCTCCGCGATTTTTAGAACATGTGAATTCACTGACGAGAATGATCCTACCGAGGGGAAAATCTGTGTTATATGTCCGATAGTAACGGCGCACAGTACAGAGTAGGAAAAATACGGTATATGGATTCACTAAGCTATTTAATGGCCACCACCTCCTAATTCAATGGGCGTTTAAATTTCCATTTGATTAATTAATATTACTAAAAATTAGTGAAAAATATTTGAAATGTTGTATATTATGAAATTTACAGAATTTCACTGAAAATAAATTTTTTAACGAAAAATTGCTAAAATGATAATGAAATTTGGTCAATTGCAAGAGATTTTCAACCAAATTTCAGCAAATTTCATTACCTTTTCAGCAAAATTTTTCCATCAGGGATATGTTAGATAGCTTTCAATAATATATGTTTTAGAGATTACGTACGAAATATTTCTCTGAAATGTTTTGTAATATTTCTTAAATATTTCAGTGAGAAGGATCATAAATGATTTTGATAAAACGTTTCAGAAATACTTCTGAATGATTTCAATGTTACATTTCAATATTAATTTCCAAGGTATCTTTTGGAAAGCTTTCAATGACATGTGATTTTGATGAAACGTTTCAAAGATATTTCTGAATGATTTCAATTTTACATTTCAATATTAGTTTTCAAGTTATCTTTCGGAAAGCTTTCTGAAACTTGTTTTGCTGTGTGGGGTGTCAAAAGAACCAGCCGTAGGCAGGTTAAAGGCACGTTAAATAACCAAAGAAAAAGAATGAATTCAGATTCCGAAGTGGAGGACGAAAATACGCCTCCCAAAAAAAACCAAAACAATACGTCGCGTGCAAAAATTTAGAAATGCTTGGCTCACGGAAGAGGAATTTAAACTATGGCTTCAGAGGGTTCCCAACAACCTCGAGAAAGCCAAATGCAAATTTTGCAATATCATTATGAAGGCGGACAGAACAGTGATCAATAATCATTTGAAATCTCAAAGCCATAAGAAAAAACTTACATTTTTTCAGCCAAAAATCATAGAATTTACAAAAAATCCTAACGATCCAAACTTAACAATAAGTAAGGAAACATGCAAATTAGAAATACGTTTATATGCATTTATTACTGAACACAATATACCCATACGGGTTTTGGACCATTTAACACTTTTGATGAAGGAATGTATTCCTGATTCAAAAATTGTACAAAATATGCATTTAAAAGCAACAAAAGGAGTTGCAATCATAAAAAATGTGATTGGGGCAGCCTCAAAAAGTCATCTGCAAAACAAATTAAAATCAACATTATTCAGCGTGCTGATAGATGAATGCACCGACATTGCTTGTGTCAAACTATATGCGTCGTGGTCAGGTAAATTATTAAATTTATTTTAAATAGTTAATACAGTATTTTAAAATTTCTGGGTGTATTATACTTAAAATTGTTTACAGATTTTTTGATGAAGAGAGGAAGGAGGAGTGGTTAGTAGATTTTGGGATCTATGTCAAGTATTTGAAAAGAGCACTAATGCCGAAGCAGCTACGGCAGAGCATTTGTTCAATCTTACACAAACCTCCTTCAAAAAAACATGATATTTTATTTGAAAATATCATTGGATTTGCATCCGACGGGTGCAATACAATGATGGGTAGCTCCAACTCCGTCGCATCGAGATTCCGTACGTTATGTCCTGGAATATCTATTTTTAAATGTATTTGCCATTCCTTGCATATCTGTGCTAGCGAAGCATGCAAAATATTACCGCGATCATGCGAAGATTTAGCACGGAACATATACCACGAGTTTAAAAACAGTGCCAAAAGACAATACCAATTTCAAGAGTTTCTACAGTTTTTGGACCTTAAAACACATAAAATCCTTCGTCCATCACAGACTCGTTGGTTGTCTTTAAGCGCTGTCGTTACACGTATTGTTGAACAATGGGAAGCCTTACAACTATACTTCAGGGGACAGCTTTCCATCGCACGATTGCATTCTGTTGAACAAATTGTACAAGCTCTTGAAAATCCGCTCATTAAGCTTTATTTTTTATTTCTTGAATGGGTTTTACCAAAATTTAACAAACTCAATGAATTTTTCAATCTGATTCAGTTGTACTTACTACAGTTTTTGACAAAATGAGCATGGCTTATCAAGAGCTTCTTGAAGCATACATGCAAAGCTCATACGTTAAAAACACGAGTTTGAGTAAAATTGATCCATTCAATATCGAAAAGCATTTACTACCCGAACAAATGTGGAGTTAAAGTTATGACATTTTTAAGCACACCCGAAATTCACAACAATCTCGCATTAAAAACTGATTTCAAAATTGTGTGTGCAAAATTTCTTGCAGTCGGCTGTTCTGAAATAAAAAAAGATTTGATTTTGAAAATAAAATATTAAAAGATTTAACAAATTTAAATCCTTCGAAAGCAGTTCTAAGAAAAACAAGGGAAACAATGCCAAGTTTGTTACCGTTAATGAAAGCGGTACCTCGTATTGTTTCTCCAGAACAATACCAAAGTATTGATGACGAGTGGAAGACACTTCCCTTTTTTGAACTTCCGTCAGACATAAATATTAAAGAAAATGTTGATATTTTTTGGGCAAAATTGGGACGTATTGATGAAGGAGACCAAGGGCTAACTTTCAAACACTTATCAAAGTTTTGTCTTAATGTAATTTCACTTCCCCATTCCAATGCAGAATGCGAACGTATTTTTAGTACGGTAAATCAAATCAAAACCAAATCTAGAAATAAGATGATTAACGAAACGTTGAATGGCTTAATTTTGGCCAAACAAAGGGTCAAAAATTGCGTTCAATATGAACCTTCAAATGAATATAGTTATATGACGAAATCCCGACTTTACCCAAATAAGAAACCGAATAAAGACGCTAATAAGTCTAGAAAAAACATTGCGGATTTGTACGAGACTGATATTTGTAATATCGACAAAATTATATCAAACGATTTTGAAATCCTAATCGCGGAAGATATAAGCTAGACACAATTGATCTGGATGGATAATTAATCGGATTTAACTGCTGTGAAATGGATTAGTCATCAGAAGTAATAATCGTTAATAGTATGATATTTTCAGTTAAAAATGAATTATTTTATAAGATGTTGAGTGACTAAGAGTTTTTAATTAGAAAATAAGAAAAGCAATATGAAAAACGTAATTTTAAGTTCGCGATGTTCTTAAAATGTATCCTTTACTATATTTATATATTGTCTATGTATACATATACATACATACATATACTTGTGCAATAAAAAAATATGTGAATTAACATCTAAATATTTTTTAATCATTTCCCTATTATACTTAAACAGTCTCTAAATGACTCATTTAAATAAAAAAACCTTTCTGCGAAATTGTACCATAATTTTTTCTAATGTACCATAATTTTACGGCCCTGGTACCATAGACGCCTTCTTTTAGGTTGAGAACGCTGTCGAGCAGTAGCGCATTAATATCGGACAGTGGATCGCTTGATACAGACCGGTGCAGACGGTTATTTCTGTGTATCCCAATTTACAAGAATATAGTATATCTTTAGTAATCGTGAGGATTAGTCTCCTTTCGCCGATTGATATTCTTTTCCGCGATACCTAAAATCTGTTCCCCCTGACTCCTGCACATCGGCGGATCTGGAACCCTAGCTCGCTCTCACATTCTTTCGACGCGTCGTCCAACAACGACGCTACAAATTTAATATTTACGTCGACCTAACCTTATTTAACATACTGCAAACTTATAACTGCAAAAATTTTACTTACGCATGTATTGATACATCTGTGCCTAACCCACTCGTTTTGCATAATATGCAGGCAAAAACCATACGGTAAAACCACTGGTATATGTATGCCACTGGTATAATGGTATATCACTGTTATACGCCAGCGAGACCTTCCTCGCCAACTTAACCTAACCTAACTTATCCAGGAGCCGATTTCTAAAGCCTATCACACAATGGGAAAGCACAGGGAATAGGAATAGGGAATAACACAGGCAACAGAAATAACTAAATTCCAACTTACCAGAAACCATGCATCGACGCACAATGGAATATGGAATAGGCAATAGGAACAGAATTTCCGACGCGTTGGATTTCTGTTCCCTATTCCCTGTGCCTGATCTACCTGACCAATCACAGTTGAGACTGGAACAGACACGTGGTTTTAAAATGCAGATGATTGGACAGCACGCCTATTGCCAACGAATCATTGTGTCTTGGCATTACATAGATTTCTATTTCCTATTCCTATTCCCTATTCCTATTGCCTGTGCTTTCCTATTGTGTGATAAGCCTAACAAGCACGGTACTGTTCCCCTTCTCTTCAAAAACAATTCAACCAATGTAAAACATAGTAGAGTGAGAGATCCGTATCTATACGTCTATTTTTCTTTTTCTAGGTCCCGGCTGGTCCCGGCATACGAAAGATCAAAGGAATCTTACCACATGCTTCGTCCAGTACTATACATATGTCGATGTGTGGCGCAGCCGCGAGCCGCCGCGAGGGAGCGTACCGCTGAAAGCTCAAGCTATCGATACGAAACCTCGGATCCTGTTGTCGCTGAATGACAATCGGCTCCCGCTATTTAGTAGAGCGCTGCGCCCATTCCATATCACCTACAATTAGTGATATATAGCGTGACATATAGAGCGATTAAGTTTTTCTTTATTATAGAAATTTCATCACCATTCTTAAAAATGTATGATCACAGCTTAAATTGATGGAGATTTTGAAAAGTCTAAATTTTTAGATGTATAGACTTAAATGGGAAATGTTTTTCACCTTCAAATCCCATATATTTGAAAATAAGTGAAGAAATGAAAAACTTTAATTCTAATATAAGTCCAAAGCATATTTACACAATACTAAATACAAATAGACGAGGCATGTATTTTACGGTATTAGAAGCATTTAATTTGAAAAATGTTATTGAAAGATCTCCTGAAAAACTCATTGACGTATCTATCAACACAAGTTTGTCTGAGCATTTAGAAGAACAAGATGGTAAATATAATAAAGATTTTCGGCTTATTATCTCCGAAAAAACTGGAACGAGATAAAACCTGTTGCAAAAGAATATACCACCCACACAGCACGGGGAACTCCCGGGGAGCTCCCGGGGAGCTCTTAAAATTGGTCATAAGCTTCATTTGAACTTCAAACGAACTCGCACGGAGCCCCCTGAGAGCTCCTATGTCCGCTTTTGAGAGCTATGGGAGCTTTATTTAAGCTCGCAGGGAGTTTAAATGAGGCTCCCACGGAGCTCTCAAAAGCGGACATAGGAGCCCCCGAGGAGCTTCATTTAAGCTCGCAGGGAGTTCAAAAAACATGTTTTAAAACTCTCTGCGAGCTTAAATGAAGCTCCCAGGGAGCTACGTGCGAGTTCGTTTAAAGTTCAAATAAAGTTTATGAAAAATTTTATTAGCTCCCCAGGATTTCTCCGTGCTGTGTGGGTATACTTGTAGTCATCAAAAATATATTCAGGTCATTAAAGTTTATCCATGACCCAAATAATTCGTTGTCGGATTATATCGGCTCGCCTCTTATACTAATATGGGAGGATTTTACTTACGAAAAAGACTAAAGTGCGGTCGCCACGTCGCGGCAGTAAGTGCTACTAGTACTAACTCGCTGGTAGCTTGTTTTGTCGAATTTTGTAAGCTTCCCGGGAGTTCAACGAAATGAACTCCCTGGAAGTTTGTTTTGTCGAATTTCATAAGCTCCCTGGGAGCTCAGCGAAATGAACTTCCTAGGAGCTTAATTGGAGCTGTGTGCTGTGTGGGCAATCGTCGCTGTTTAAAACTAAAGCCCGGAGAATGGACTAATATATTTGCCGAAAAAATATGGGAACACACCAAAATTCCTTGTGCTTTCACATTTTAAAATGTGACTGTTCTTCCAAGCCTCAATGCAAAGTCTTTCGTTCGTTTCAATGCTTTATGCAAAGAATGTAAGGCGATATTGTAGGATTTAAGATTGCATTTTGTTTGCTGGCTCGCGTGTATATGTCGTTTTTTTTGGTCGCGCATCGATCATGAGATACCGCGGGATAGCCGAACTCGGCTCGTTGCGAAGGAGACAGTCTTTCGACTCTGCGCTATCATTTGTTTTGACTCTGCGCTATCATCTGTTTTGACGGTTTCACTCTCGAAGAGAGAGGAGCGCAACAGTAGTGAGGGAGTCGATCCTTGAAAGTCGTTCGGAGAGGACGTCGAAAGATTCGTTAACTTTCTTATAACTGTATCCACTATATTCCGACTGTTGTTATAAAATAAATCCCACAGATTTTGGAGGTTCGTCCGGGATCGCAGCCTGGAGTGTAGTGTCAGTTATACGAATATAAGAAGTGTATCAGAAGTTTCAAGACGCAATAATGACGGAACCAGGCGCGGTGAACGCTGATCTGGCTACGAAGTTGACGAACATGACGCTGGTCCAAGTAAAAGAAGAACTCAAGAAACGAAAGCTGAAAACGACGGGACCGAAAAACGAACTTGTCTTGAGATTGTTACCATTCAGGCAACTTGAGCTAGAACACGGCGAAGTAGGGCATCACGACGAAGCTCAGGACGAGGGCGACGACGAAGATAGAGAACGAAGAAGTAGTGAAGGCGATACAAGCAAGTAGGGTATAG